TTTATACAAAATATATAATATATATATATTTTATTTTTTTTAAATTTTATTTCCCCCATAAAACAAACTAAACACGTATCTCTTTCAGCAGCTGCTTAAATTCCTTAAATTTCCTGCTCTGGTGTAAAAGGTGGTTGGGGAAAGTTTTCACCCTCCCACTGCTCAGAAACAGGTTGAAGAGAAATGGGCCATGACTATTAATCTCCCCAGGAGATATGTCCTTGTTTGGTTTATACAACTGCTCCTGGTCCAGGTGTGAACTTGTACACTTGACCTTTATAGATGTGGAAGGTTGTTGCAGGTGTATGGATGGCATACAAATAAATTTTCTGGGTCTAAAAGCGTGCTACTACTGACTTTAGGTCACCATGTAAAAATGTATCAGTATGCCAGTGCCAGTATAGTCTGACAGTGGCTGGCCTTTCATGAGGTGCCTAAGTCATGCATTATTTTGGAAGCGCAGTTTTGCAAATGGATATGTCTCAGTAAATATGCCCTTTACTGTGCTTATTCTATTAAATAAACAAGTCTGGGATATTTCAAGGAAGCTGTTCCGAGCAAACACTTCATAAGTGGGACGCCGGTTCAGTTTACCCCATGTTTGTCCTCAGTAAGATTTCACAAATCCCTCAGCAATGATAAATAAAGCCCATAAAAGCGTCCTCATAAAAACAACAGAGACATGGAATCAGAACATGTCCCTCACCCCCCGAATACTGGTGCTGATGCTGAACCAATTAAAACACTCCTGATGGGCATGTTTTGGATCTACATTGTATTTGTCTAATTAATTAGCATATAGCCTATGGAAAACACCAATGCGCTGTTGTAGTAATTAATTCATCTAGATGCACTGCGCTCGCAGCCAAGGTTGCTGTACATTCTTCTGCTAAGCTACAGTAGATCCCTATAGATCAGTGCGCTTTTAAGGCGGGCCTGACAAAGTGTGACAGCGCCACTGTTCAAATTACTTTGAATTGTGCTCCCACTAAGTTGAAGCACTTCTTTCTTTTTTGCAGCAAGTGGAGTTGACAGTATAATAACATTTTCCGGGTAAACAAGGTAAAGGAATAAGAATCCATCTTGCCGCTTAGACATCAAATTTCTTCATGGTAGCGTTTAAAAAAACATTGTGGTTTAGTGTGACTGCTTTATAGATTTCTTTTGCCCTTTCAAAAAAAAACACTGGTTATTGCTTTAGACAACGGCATGGAAGTCGGCTGTTGTTTCTCTTCACATGCAAACTTGACAGGAGACTGAAGCCATGCGCTATCTGCGGCTGGGTTGGGAGTGTCTTCCCCTGTTCAAACGGCAGGAATAGATTAATGACAGCCGGCCAAACCCAGTAGACAAAGGTCACTACCTTGGTGAAATCCAGCGGAGGAGATGGAGTGCTGGGGGTTGCTCCTTTGGTATGAGAGTATGTGAGTGTGCATTTGTGATGTGTCAGAGAAGGAGGGAGCGTTTGTGTTAGGTAGCTGACACAGAAGCTGCTGACGTTTCAAGCTTAACTAAGTTCCCATGTCACTCTGTACACACAGACGCTGTGATTCAGTAGACACACATGACCTTCAGCTACTCACGTCTCTTATGGTTAACTCAGTCTAATCTATAATTACAGCCCCCTCCCCCCAATCTAATAACAATATATGTCCAGCTTGCTTCCATATATTGTCCTTCCACAATTTCTGGAGAAACAGAAGGAATGAGAAATCGAGAAATACACTGCCGCTGGTGGCTCTGTGTTTGTTGTAAAAGGTCACTTGTAATATTCTCTGCCAAATCAGCCTCAACAATTTCTCTGGCAAGCTTTTTTAGCGTTGCGCCGGAGTGTGTGTGTGTGTGTGTGTGTGTGTGTGTGTGTGTGTGTGACCTTTTTAGTGGGCAGATGATAACCGTTTCCGCCGAGACAGGAATAGAAAACAAAATGACCTGTTTAGAAACCAGAAAGGGCGGCGTAAGCAGTTTGCAGCCTTGGCAAGCTACGGACCTCTTTGTCGAGAGCAAGGGAAGCAAGGAAGAAGAGTATGGGATAGATAGAAGCAGCGATAGAGAAGAAAAATGACTATGTATTTGTGAACTGTTGGGTAAGTGGGTGTATTGTAATCTTCTTTGACCTCAGCTTCTGGTCAGCGCAGCGCAGCCTGTCCTCTGTGTGCATGTGTGTGTTTCCCTGAGCTTAAGCCATAGAGAGTGTCCTGAGGCATGCTGGGGAAGACAAGCCTACCCACGGTGGGATGATAGTGACCTCTCACCCACATCTGATTTTCTGCCATGCTCTGCCAATTGCACTGTAACCAAACTGGACTGGACTCCAGTTCACAGTGATCAACGCACTAAGGAGGCCCAAACTAGCACTTTTTAAACAATGAACAATGGCTCGAAATAGTTCTAAGAAACGAGACTGCTGAGTGACTGAATAACAAAATTGAATTACTTAACTCACAATGCTGAGAAAAGACAACTTTCAGATTGTCTAGGGGCAGAATTAAAATTAGTATGTCTTATGAAATATACAAAATCAGGAGGTAAGCATTGCCCAAGGAAAAGCTCTTAGCACATGAAAAAGTTTGTGCTGCAAAATACGACTTAAAAAACGGCAGCCGTACTCTGGTTTTGTGAAAAATTCTCACATTCCCAGCTCAGGGCTGTGTGCTAATTTATTTTTCCTCTCTTCAGAACAAAAGCGCAAGCTTTAGAAATCAGGACAGGGAAAAGCGGTGCTGTAAATGGGCTGAAGATCGGTCTTGAGGGTCATTATAACGCTTCTTTAAAATGAGTACAGCTGAAGGATAAAGGATGACGGAGGAAGCAAACCACTACTGTGAAATGTGTTGCTGCGGAAATGTCTTTTTTTCCACCCTCCATGACAGTTTTGAGATTTTCCCAGTTGCTTTGGCAGCCCTCAGCAGGACACCAGAATGGCATACAAGTGATATTAGTTAGATTGATACACTCTCGGGCTGCTTTTTGAGGGCTATTTTATTATGACTCACACTTCAACACTTTTTAAGTGCTGCCTATAGTTTTTGATTGTCTTGACATTTTGACACATTTCCTCTGCTAGAGTTTTACCTCCAACTGGGAACCAAGACTTCCTAAGTTTTTTTCAAGTACATTGTTTTGTTTGACACCGCACACCACTTTGCTTTGACCCCCTCTTGACCTTTCATCTCATTCCTGACCTTAGATTGACACCTTGGAGGCTCAGGGAGAGGAGATCAGTGGAATGGCGCGCTGTCCGTATGATGCCAAGCACGCCAACGTTGCCCTCTTTGCTGGTAAGATTAAACATTTCTGCGCATGCTAAACTGAAAGCGATCTGTAATGCATTTAACATCACTGTAATTTTTAAACTTCAGTCACTGTCCTTTGGGTTAAAATGAAAGAAACCCAAATTTCCATAAGGTTAAAATAGTTTATGTGATATTTCTACTCTTCATTCGATGCCATGAGGCAAAAACATTAATCCCAATTTTCTCCTATCTGCAGTTACTTAACGCTGGGAACAGTTTGAGCTAGATGGGAAAGTTGAGTGTATTTGAGTGAGGGATTAGTTGCGGTTGTATTTAATATTCTTCTTAATACCCTGCGGTTTACTCTAATGGCAATACTCTGACATGTCAAAAAAGAAAGCCAATCTATGTTACATGCACTAGAGCAAGTCATTCGATTTGGCGCTACATTGCTCTTCTTATTGGAGCCTTTTGGAAACACTTTAATAGTACTGTGGTAACAGATTCATCTGTCTGCGCCTTCTATTGTACTTTTCTGTGATTCTCTTTGTCTCTCATTCACTTCCATTCAAAAATGCTCAAGATTAACATAAGTCACACATGGATGTGACCAGAATGAGTCATCTTTCCGTCGGCGTGGTGAGATTCTTCTGGTGCAATGAACCCACGGGCTGCTAAAGACATCCAGTCCCTATACACATTTGCTGTGAAGCGATTTATGGCAGTATTGATGATCTGTCCCTGCCGGTTTAAAGTAGAGGACAAGAATAAATGCCTGGCTTGACCAGTTAATGTGTAGCAGAGCTGCTTGGAAGAAGCTGGAAGCACTGAGTAATCAACAGGGTTCCTCTGACTGCTATCCTTTCAATTATGTAGTTTGAGTTTCCACTGTGGTTATAGCTGAGGCAGGCTGAGGTCATGCTAGCGGTGGATTGTGTTTGTGAAGAATGTGTGTGTATGTATGTGCATGTAAGCGTGCGACTTTGGCTTTCTGTGGTGCTCGAAGACTGTATGCGAGTGCAGGGCTACAGTGTTTGTGCTTTTGGAGAGTGTTTGCAAGATTGGCCAATTACAAATGTTTAAGTGCGTACAGCCTGTTTGTTGTCCATCAAAGAGTGCCTTCTGGTTGTGTGATTCATTCATTTTCCAGGTCTGAATCATCTGAAACATGTTTGTGTATCTCACCACAGGGAGCAGGAATCTCTGGGTGGCTTCATGCATTTCTGTCTTGATTAACTTTACTCTCTTCACCTTTTTTTCTTTTCCTTTATGTCTCTCTGTGTCTTTCGCTTTTTGTCCATCCTCCTCCCTCTTCGTCTACATCTTTCCTCCTTATTGCCCTTTCTCCCTCTGTGTTCACTCACCAGATGGCAAGCTGTACTCGGCCACCGTTACAGACTTTCTAGCGATCGATGCGGTCATCTATCGTAGCCTTGGAGACAGCCCGACTCTGCGCACTGTCAAACATGACTCCAAATGGCTGAAAGGTGAGTGGGGGACACAAACACAGTCCCTGTGGTCGGAAAGTGCCAGGCTGACTGACAAGTTAGAAAAAAAACCTAGGGTTCGGACATGCATGCTTGACCACGTGTTTGTATTTTATGATTCATGTGCAAACATGTGTTTGTCCCTCTGTGTATGAATGACGGTATGAAGAGCTGGAGCATTTATGCTACATGCTCTGTTTGATGCAGCCATGTTGCCAGCCTGCACAAGTAGTGTTGAAATTACTCTGCCCTGGGGAGAAACAAGCACAAGTCCAGTCTGTCAAAACTCAATAGAGAAATCCGCCTTTTCTCGCATGTGAATTGTTTTGCTAATATGATGGATGATAGTTTGAGGCTCTCAAGGCTCGCAGTCGCTACCTTTCTGCATAATATGACAGATATTCTGGCGGTTTACTGTGAAATATGGTGTCAGAACTGTTTTGTCACAGCAAAAATGCTTCTTTGACTCATAATAGTTTTTCTTTTTCCCTTCGCAGAGCCCTACTTCGTCCAGGCAGTCAATTATGGAGACTTCATTTATTTCTTCTTTAGGGAAATTGCTATGGAGTACAATACAATGGGAAAGGTAAGCACATACACTATTGTTTTAAACTCTAATCAGAGGTGACTTCCTATTTACAGGGAGAATCAGGAAGCGCCCGAGGAAACTAACAGGATATGGGTAACGCATAACGGGAAGGAGGCTTTTAGGAGCAGTAAAGTGGACAAACCCTTTTCCAGCAACAGATAAACACTAGGCAGGAAACAGCACCTAAAATAGGTTCAAAAAGAAAATATATGGATGTCTTGAGATCCCATTTTGAAGTCTAAATATATTACTTGAATTGCACGTCCGCATCCATCCTGCATGGCTCCCATTTGGCCTACCCTCTCAGTGTTTCCCATGAGAAAAACCGCCCAAGTGTCTCTTAGAAGTGAGACAAAGTATCAGAAGAAGACGGGAAAAAAACCCAAGCTTTTCTCAGGTATTACACCATAGGGACAGAAACGTTTCTATTAATCTCTTCATTCCAGGTTTGGGCCCTGTCCTGCAAAAGTTTAATTGGACACCAGGTAGAAGAAAATACGTTATGCAAATGAATCACTCTTTTTATATTGTGCAGAATAAATGAAAGAAAACACATAAGAGAGAGTGAGAAAGACAGAGGGGACGAGATGAGAACAGAGCGGAGGTAACATAGAAATAATGGATTCACTGCCAGAAGTGACAGCCATGTGTTATTGCAGAGCATGAATACAGATCAGGCCTCTCAATCTGCCGGGTGTTTTGAAAGCAGTGTCAGTATAATTATGTATGTGGTGGTAGAACTGATGGTGCAGAGAGCAATTTAACATTTAGTGAATTGATATCTCTTTATTATTACGAAAAAGACTGGCCTACCCTGACAATGTAAACAGTCGTCTGTGCTTTATGGCAAACTGATAAATCCGCTGTGGCAAGTTGTTTGCTTTAGGTTTAATGTCGGGTTGTTACATTGTTATCTAGAAAATACAAAAGGATAAACCTTTCAGTGCACAAGTGAATTAAAAAGCCTCCACTAAGGCGTTTGTTTGGCGAAGCGATGTGTATATTTGGACCATTTATGTATATGCGTGTATTGAGTTGCGTCCAAGTCGCTCACAGATTAGCGAGTGCAGAAATGTGACCCACTGATACACTGTGTAATCTCAGTAATCTAAAATTTCACACTGAACGGGCCTGTGCAGGTTCTAGAGTCTTAGCTGGAATTGCTGCATTGCTTAATTCATATTTGTGCATGGTTCAATGGGAAAGCGGAGGGTCGTGGTGTGTTTGCAAGAGTGAGGGTGTGTGTGTGGTTGTCTGTGGGTGTGTGAGTAGGGATCTGTTTTAAATGCATGGTTGTTCCCATTCACACCATCAATTTCAGTTCAGGGCAAGATTTATAGCTGTTAAGTATAGTGTCACAACAACTAATTACAATTCTGGCTACGTGAACTTACGACAGAGTTGTAATTACAGAGCTCGGGCCTATTTGAAGCCGTATACTTTAAACTTTCTGTTGCCAGGTGCTGACTGTTTAACAGCATATCAAATGCACCACTTTTCTTCTGTCTTTAATTTGCTATAACGTGACGAAACCCTAGATTAACACATTGTGGTGTACCTACAATTTCTCCCATTCAAAAAGGCCTTATAGCAATAAGATTATCGATGTGAAATGTGTGACTGTAGAAATCTCAAGGTGAACTCTTAAGCTTCTTAAATATAACCCACGTTTGACTTCTTCAGGTGGTGTTTCCACGGGTGGCGAGGGTTTGTAAGAACGACCGAGGCGGATCGCCGCGTGTTCTGGAGAAGCAGTGGACCTCGTTTTTAAAGTCTCGCCTGAACTGCTCCATCCCTGGCGACTCCCATTTCTACTTCAACATCCTGCAGGCTGTGACCGATGTCATTCACATCAATGGGAGGGATGTAGTGATGGCAACTTTCTCCACGCCTTACAACAGGTAATGACGACAGAAGGTAAAAGTAAACAAGCAGTGAAAAGTGAGCAATAAACTGGTTTTGCTGAGGGTATTTTTTCCAGCGTTTCCCAGCATCTCAGATAAATTCACATGCACCAGCACATGAACTTTCCCTTTATTAAACCGATTATCTTTCTCAGTTTGAAAGACATTTTGAAATTCATCAACACTTTGACAGTCTGACCTTTGTTAACGTTGGTAGCGTGTGTCCCTGCCGTGCCTCTTGGCGGCGTGTAATTTCTAAACCCAGTGGGTCAACATTCACATCTTCTGTCAAAACAGTGTTGTTGCCCTTTTGACATGCAGGTGCTTAATCTTATTTTCCCTCTTATAATTCATATTCTGCACGGCTTTCATGTTCACAGTCAGTGGGAGTTTTTATCTAAATTGAAAATTACCACAAAGCCATACAGCTTGGCTGATAGCTCACACATATTGTAATTTTCCATTTTATGGCTGCTTTTTAGCAGATAAGACAATTGCTTGTGACAACGCAATTGAGCATGGTTAATGGACATTAAAACCCAATGAAGCAGTGCCTCTGAAAATTTCTATAAGCGGGAGTTTTGATCCTAGCATTAATTTTCCATTTCATAGGGGGTGAAGGGAGCACATTCAGACAGTAGGCAGCACTCAGGGTTTTGTGTCATTCGATTGTCTTGCTGAGTTGCTTCACGGCCCAGACTTTTGCTAACCGGCCAGCTAATTCTGTCTCGTTAGCAGCCCGATATAAACAGACATACGACTGTCTAACTTTTTGTACATATTCAATGCAGAGGGTAATTACTGTAATTTAGTAGCTAAGCCAAGAATTAACAGCTTTCTGACCTTGCTCTCAATAATGCTACCCTTGTGTCTGCTGTCTTCCAAATGTCTACATGATGAGTTTAACCCATGATGTAACAGCATGGAAATCCAGCAAGCTGAGAGAGAAAGAGAGGTTTCTTTCTGTAAACAGCCCTTAGTTTTTATTTCTGGACACAAAAAAAGCATAAAAAATAGAAAAGTGACTCAGTAATCTGCTATGCATTGATTTCACACAGACACAAAGAAATCAGTGGCTCCACTGCAATCATAAGATGGGTATTTTTCCCCTTAAAATGAAAAGTGATAATAAGACAATCTGTTTGGCCCCAAGCGTGGACTAGTGATGAACTTTGATGCCTGGAGGCTTTCGGGGAAAGTCAGTGTTAGAGGTTACTGTACGGGAATGTGTGAACCCGTAAATCACTACATTCAATAACACATAAGTGAATGCACGAAAGCTCTGACATGGTGATCAGTAGAGAACAAAAGAAATAAATGCTTTTATTAATGAAAAAAATTGATCAAATTATGTTTAAAAAATAGAGGAAAGTGTAAAGTGTCTTCTTGTATACCTAAGGGAAGTGAGGATAAACAACACGCCTCTTTTTAAAAAAAAATCTGGCAGAACCTTCACAACACTCAAAACTTGACTGTATCACCCAGTGTAAACAGGCAACAGCTAAAATAAGCCATCCTCAAGGGATTTAACCCTTCTGAGAAGGGATTGTAAATCCATTTTTCTGTCTCCTGGTGATAGCAAGGTGTTTCTTTGATATGCTCAGTCAAGAGGATTGTTTATTTAGTTGTGTGTGCTTGTGTGTGCCGTCGCAGTATTCCAGGTTCGGCAGTGTGTGCCTATGACATGGCGGAGGTGGCCAACACGTTCACAGGGCGTTTCAAAGAACAGAAATCACCAGACTCCACCTGGACACCTTTTCCTGAAGAGAAGGTTCCCAAGCCAAGGTACAGCAGCAGTTAATTAACCAGCGAGCACACTTGCATACACGCAGGCACGCACAGGATTAAAGGCAGCACACACACCAGTCACAGAGTGTTTCTCTTCCTGTGTTTCTCCTCATTCCTGGCTGTCTCACACGTGCACGCACAGACAAGATATGTAACTATGCAGTCAATTCCTAACACTTGTTATACCACAATGTGATAATAATCACTTATTCTTAACTCATGTTGCCTCATATTTAGTGCATCGCTAATTTCGTCAGAAAACGCTCATCATGTGTCAAATTGTGTCACACGCAGCACGCACCTACTCATGTAGAGACCACCTTTTTTCACAGTTGCACTCATATCCCATTACCTCACCTTACCGCTGCCACCCACGCCTCACACGCAGCTAATTTAGCTTCAATAAACGAAGCATGACATCATTTTACAGATGGCTGGCTAATTCCACAAATGTACCAACCTGATCAATCTCCCATCTATTGCAAACTAATTAGTGCACTAACAGGATGCTGTCCTTTCCTCCAGAAAAGAGAGAGAGAGAGATTTGCAACAAAGATCTGGGCCGTGATAAATGTGTGTGTGTGTGTGTGTGTGTGTCCCATATGGCTGAGGACACAGTTCCTCACCATCAGAGAGCCCGTACTGTATTTTGTGCATTAATCTCCATGCATTGTGTGAATGTGCGTATCTGTGTGAGTTCACGCACTTACCTCAATTAGCATGTAATTACTTGTTTATGTTCAACAAGGTCAGACGCTTCAAAGAGCAGGTACAGCCACCATTGTTTTTGTAGTAACTGATGTGATTGATTTCATTTCCATCCCTTGGTTCTTTCAGACCTTTTATCACTGAGCAAACAGACGGAGAGTTGTAACAAAGCCACCTAGGTCTGGCTCCGCAGCAGACTGTTACTCCATGTGTTAGACACTCATACTGAATCATTTACAGATTTTCGTATTTAAGAGATGTCTGCTTTCGTTCTGCTGCCCATATGCGCCCGGACGTAAATGCAGTAACAGAAATGTTAGAATTCTAGCACAAACTATTATTCTCTTCTTTTACAGTGAAGCAGTAATACTTGTGAGAAACATTAGAATCAGCTGACATGTTTTCTATGGTGTTCCCTAAAGTCCTGTAAGTTGATGTTTATATCTGGTGTGTTCAAGTTATTATCTTGCGCACCCGAGATAATTTGCTATAAACGACTTCAGATGCACACAGCCGCCATATAATACAGAAAATTCTGCTAATCATGTTCAGCCCACAAGGTAATTTGTTGTAAATTCACATGCGTGTCTAATGGCTTTAGATGCACACAGCTGCCATATAATGGAGATCACTTGTCTAATCACATTTTTGTTTTGCACCAGAATGCCATACAGTGAAGTTTTTGCATGTAAACGTGGGGATTTCATTAGCACGAATGAATTTCTATTTCATACAAATCAGCAAAGGTTTCACTGCATCATTCTGTCAATAAAATTCTAATTAAATAAATTAAAAATAACATGTGCATATACACATAGTAAGGTTTGTATATTTTTATAACAGACTATAGGGTTTGGTCTTTTCATGTCACACAGTGGCCAGATGGCTAATATTTCTGGGATCTGTTGTGGATTATATGCTATGGCAGGGTATCAAAGACCAAGCAGTAAAGGGTTTTAAAGGCTCTCAGAGGTGAGATGGCTGCAAAGGGGATATGCTATCAAAAGAAGCTTCTCTTTTACAAGAAGCTCACCAACTCCCCGTAAAAGGATCAGATAGATACAATGCTTCAGTGCTTTAGCCTGAAGCCACAGAAAAGGAGACATCTTGCGCCCTCCTATGTGACCAAAAGCCTCTTGGAATGAGAGTTTAGTCATTTAAAGCAGCACTTTCATTGATTTTAAGAAAGTAGAACTTTCTTTCCTCCGTTGAAGCTCTTACCATGAAAAATGGCTCATTCCTACTGCGGTCAAAGTGGTGGTTTTTCATTTGTGCTTTTTTCCATATTCTATTCACTATTTTTTTTCCCTCTGCCATTATCGCTCCTCTTCATTACCTTGCTCTTCCTCCACTCCATTTGTAGGCCTGGCAACTGTGCTGGTACTCCACCGATGGAGAGGTATAAGGTATCCAATGAGTTCCCCGATGACACACTCAACTTCATCAAGATGCATCCTCTGATGGACGAGGCCGTACCCTCCATTGCTAACAGGCCCTGGTTTCTCAAGACCATGGTTCGGTAAGTATCGCACACTCCAGAGGCCATCATCATCATCAAGGCTACAAGCCTCTTCAGCCCAGGACAATAATTACATGAAGTGCTGCTGTGAGAATCAGGCTCATTAAAAGAAAGCCTGAAGGTACTCCAGCCACTGACCTATTTTCATTATAGTAGAGGAAACACCTATCTATACTAGCTTTCTCTCTGAGTGACAGCGTGGTGATGTCATGAAGACAACGCAAACAGTTTGAATCCTTAGTGATGCTTATCTTCATGCTGAAACGTGTCATTTACACGAGAACAATGAGTTCAGCTCTTTGTCAGTTGTTTAAAATCCTCTTGGGAGATTTCACAGGGAAAAAACAAAAAAAAACTGATTTTTTTTTTGTTCAGTGGTGACTTTTCCTTTGAGTTTCTGTAGTTGAGCCCATTTCTCAAAAGCCAGTGCACTGTGGCTGATGCCGTTTGATCATAAAGGTCTGTCTGGCTTTTACTTGCACTACACACAGACATTTCAGCCTCTGGGGGGAACGCGACAGCACACCGCCATCCCATCGGCAGGGCAAAAGTAGCTGACAGAGCATTTGGTAAAAAGTAAAAGATCTAGTTTTTCATTTGGACTTGGATATGGATTACAGCTGCTCAAGATTTAAAGTTGGGCTTGCCAGATCCTTGACAGGCCTCAGTGGTGGTAATATCACTTTAAAGATAGCTACATAAAGAATTCTTCATACGTTTTACAAGTTATTTGCATCATATCACATCTTGCTGCTCCTTTGCCGAGGTCTGACCTACATACTGCAGTGGCTTAGTCAGAATATGAACAGCTTTCATCAAGGTTATCCCTACAACTCTGTGTTCATTAGTGTGCTTTATCACAAGAATACATTATGAGTGACACGCTTTTTTTTTCTTTATCTTTACATAATCAGCAATCAGACGATTTGATTTGATTTGAAATGTCATCACAGCGAGCACAGCGAGCTTGTAGGGAAGTCAGAGGCGGTTCTTGAAAGTATTATGTAGGCCCAAAAAGCAGCATGAAAGCATATGCGGTGGAAGAAGAGTGAGGCTTCTTATGATATCTGTCAGGGTTTCAATGTGGAATACTGTTCTTCAGCTGAAGTCAATTGGAAATGAAATCGGTAATAGGATTTGATCCTTGTTACACCCCAGAGGGGACACCTCAATACACAGAAAGAAGTTCAAATTTGAAAAATCTTTTCCATCTTGAGACCGCTTGAGACTTGCTGTGCAGTGGCACAGACCTCAGCTGTCTGGGCACAATGAATCACCAAGACGGGTGAGACAGTGAAGAATCCCCTTCTTGTGATTTTTATTATCTTGAGTAGGAAAGACAGTGAACGTCTTATTCTTTGAGATTGTATTATTTAACTGGGATCAGCCTAATTGAAATGGTTATTGGAGCATCTGTTATGAACGAATAGATCAAAATCAAATTAAATCTTCAGACCGGTGGTAATGTTGACTAGATAAAGCTGGAGGCACAGAGCATTTCAAAGGATATACTGTATAAAGAAAACAAAAACAGTGAATGGGATAAGAGGATGTGGCTTTGTTTATTATTTTTTTTAATGGACTCATGGTGTAAAACTGTACTCGAGTAGGGTTAAGTTTAGTCTCATTACCCCCAAATAAATATGATCTGATGACAAACTTTTTCACCTAGACAGTATCTAGTAAACATTAACGAGGACAAAACAAACTTCCAAGATTTCTGAATACACTCTCATCTTTAGATCACATATACTTCAATTAAAAATAATTGGTGATTATTGGTGTTCACATAGGCAGCATGCCTTTGTGATTACTTAAACAGTATCTTAGTTAGATATTTGCATCAGTCGGTAAGAGTAAGCAGCCTCAGGAGGTATTTCTAAAACCCGTTCACCCACAAGGATAACAGGGCGCCGGTCCAGATCTCACTGACTGGCAGGTGTCTAATTTTCCAACCTTAAAGTGTTTGGTATGCTTCTGAGTTTTATGCACATCCAACTGGTGCTAAGCCAAACTGTGCGATCAGCAGCTGTCAATTAGAAATTGAAAGTAGAGCTTGTTATCTTTTGCTTGAGCAACTTCTTTGCAGTGTTTTTACTTGAGGAACCACCTGACAGGCCCTATGGCAATCTGATTGTGAGCTTGTAATCAAATGACAATCAGTTAGTGAGATTAATGCGCGCCCCCTGCTGTTCTTTAGTCTATTTTAGACCTCTGACATGCGTGGTGGAAGGTACGTTAATTGATTGGCTGATTAGGTAATTATTATCTGGAAAATGACATCCCCCTGTTTTTTTTAATTTTATTTTGTTCTTTGGCTAACTTTTTCCAGTGGCCCAGATGTGGAAGAAAAAGTTGAAAACAGTTGCATTAGGTCCCTGCTGTTGGTGTTGCTTTTCTAGTGAGCAAACATTTTCCTCTGCTTGCAGGCTAACAGACTAATTAATTGACTGATTGGTTTTGTTTTTTTTACCTGCTGCTCCTTTTTCAGGTATCGTCTGACGCGCATTGTGGTGGACAATGAGGCAGGGCCGTATAAAAACCACACAGTAGTATTTCTGGGGTCTGAGAAAGGCATCATCCTCAAATTCTTGGCCAAGATGAACAACGGCTTCCTCAACGAGAGCCTGTTTCTTGAGGAGCTCAGTGTCTACAACCCTGACAAGTATGTAAAACCGAGCATACGTGTATATGCAATGGACAGAAATAGAGAAACACATGGATACAGTTGCTATAAACACAGAAAGTACAGTTATTGCATGCGTGTGTGCTCTGTAGAGAGCGAATGTGTTTAATTTTGCTTGTTTCCACCATCTATCGGCTCAGCCAACCCACCAACCCACCAGCTCCATCACTACCAGTCCGTTCCCCTGACCCAAGCTATGTTGCGAAGCCAGCCAACCAGATGGCTACTCTATCATTTAAAAGAGTTTTATCAGGTTACACTCTGCCCAGCCACAGCTACTAAATTAAAGACATAGACCCTAAGGCTCTGGATAACGTAGCACTGTGGTTCGCAACCACAGCAGAGCTAAAACCTTGGCTGATTAAAGGAAGCACACGCATAGAAACTCACACTGAGGTCTGTGTGTGTCTCAGAGCCAGCCTGGGATCTCTCGCTAATACATTACACATCTGTTGGTGCATGCATGGATGTAAGTCTGTTTGTGTGTGTGTGTCTGAGTGTGTGTGTTCATGAACTTGGTACAGAGGGTCGAGCTGGGTATTGTTGTACATCTGAAGTAAAAGTTAATAAGGAAAAATCAGCCACAGTTTCACTCTGCCAAAACAAATATTTGGTTGAGAGGTAATGGATGGAAGCACAAACACAGGAGGGAGAGAGAAGAGTGGTAAAGACCAGAGGGAAGACATGGGAAGACTAGAGGCTTGTGTTAGGAAGCAGAGAAGAATACGGGAAGGAGACGGAAGGCTTGATGGGAGGGCTTTCAAGGCTCCTACTGTTGATTATCCAACATGCTGCGACCATGTGATGGGCCATATGTCCGGGATGCAGGGCAGGCCCTCGCTTCTACTTCTTCACTTCTACTTGCTGTGTCTCCTTTTGCCTTCTCCCAGTATCGCGTCCCTTTGTTTCCCTTCTCTCCTGTTCTGTGTCTCTCTGGCTGGGACCGAGCATTCGTGGGCTGATGGCCATCTGGCTTTAGCCGCATACAGCGTGTGACTTTGCCTGCCTGCTTCCCTGCCTGGCCGGCCGGATCAGTGTAGGCCTGATTGCTGTGCATTACCCGGTGTAGATGAACTGTAAGCCCCAATTTAGAGCGTTAATACAGGACCAAAGCTCTGCGAAGGAAAGATTAAATCCCAGGAGTTGGATGGTAGAATAGACAGAGGAACAGAGGGAGCGAGAGAGAAGGGATAGAGTGATGCTTGACACGCCCCAGAGGGATTACAGTGCACTCCTATGGGGCTGTTGAGACAAAGAAGACTAGCTGAGATAGAGGAATGTTGGAGTTGGGGGGCTTTGAGTTAGTGTTAGAGGATTCTCCAGTTAAGTGCAGTGTTATTGCTGACTGCTCACAGTGCCCATCTGTCTGTTTATCTGTTGTATCTGTATCACCCTTTTCTTTATCTCTCTTTATCTCCCGCTCTGTTTGTGACCTCATGTTCCCAAGTCCAGCATTATCTCTGTCCTCCCTGACCTCACAGTTTGTCTCTCTGCCACATCCTAATCTTCCCCTTTCTTTCATTAAATAAGCTAAATCTCATTTTACGATGCCCAACTTTTCTCTACTCTGTCTTTAAACTACCATATAGTTAAGGGCGATATACTCTAGATCAGCTTTGCTAATGTTCCTCATTTATCTTATGCTGGCCCTTTAGTTCATTCCATGAAATGAAACAAAGAGTTTTAGCTGCTCCGAGTCTGCTCCTTAAACCAACTTTTTCTGCTTGCCTACCCCCTTGCAAACAGGAGAGTTAAAGAGCAGGTAATTTCTTGCGATCACAGTCAGAACTGTGCTTGATAAGACCTGATTACAGATATCCACTCTCTTTGGCACCATGTGGATCCAAGACCCAATGAAACTGTGAAATTTATTTGAAATTGTGCCTGTATTCTTTGAGCATTCACCATTTTAACAGCATCTACTGAAAAGCACAATAAATCAGCTGAAAAAGAAAATACAAAGTAATCAGTTTTTGTCTTCTTTTCCTCCTCTAGGTGCAGCATAGATGGAGTAGAAGATAAGCGCATCGTAGGTATACAGATAGACAGCAAGAGTCACGCTCTGTGGGTCGCCTTCACCTCCTGTGTGGTTAAAGTGCCGCTCTCTCGGTGTGAAAGGCACGGGCGGTGCAAGAAGTAAGTTTGCTACTCTATTAAATCATCATTCCTACTCAAGTGGTTGAGCTATGTGCATTCCTTCTGAAAGAAGAAAACAGTATGTGCAGAATGGGCCTAATGGTGTGTGCAATTCTTCTCCAGGTCCTGTATAGCCTCCAGAGACCCATATTGTGGTTGGGTCCCAGAAGGAGCCTGCAGACAGGTGGTTGGCAACACTAAGTAAGTAATAAAGACAATCGAAGTCAAAGGAGCTGCATGCTTTGGGTATTTGGCTCCATGAAAATGTATTAAATTGCATTCAATAACTTAGTTGTATACGTTAGTAAGCTGGTTAATATGCTCTGTGGAAATTTAGCACTTTTTTGTTAGCTTTCTGCTGCTCTTCCTTTACCTCCAACTGGAGTTGAGGCTCATGGGTATTGTAGTATTTAGATGCACATACTATGCCCACAACATCATCTCATAATACATTTATCTCTAACAGTGTATTTTTTCATTTAAACTGTTACTGTGGACTGCTTTGGAATTGGCTGAATCGAACTAGTAAAACAGCATTTCGCCTTTTTGTCATACCTGGTGCCAGTCCCTCTCCCTGCTTGTCATATCTGTGATCTTTCTAATTTTATGGTTTGTAACTGCAATTTCCTTCAGCTGAAGGGGCTATTGGAAGGATGAATGGAAGGAAAGTGTTGTTTGCAGCGGGCTCGGGGTTTGGTACGCAGCGCTCGGGAAAGCTGGATGGTCGCAGTAACTATAATTTGTGGCTGTAGTCATGACACAGAACCACTTTATGCTTTCTGAACAAACAGCATATGGAGTTTTGTGGTGGGAAAAAACATTTTGCAGATGAAGTCATAACAAAAGGCGCGGTGCTCCACTGGCTATTTGACGATGAATGAATTTGATCCCCCTGCTGCAAAATGATTGGTCTGGCATGCCAATACACCAAAGGCACACGTTCCCGCTTGCACACACAAAACTTAGGGGAAAAAACCCCACACACTCACACACGCAAGCACACTGCCCATCCTATTATTACTCTGCAAAGCCAAAGCAGTGGACTGTTCTGATTGAGTTTCCACAGCAGGAGGAGCAGGAGCTGACACAAAGGCATTAGGAGGGCAGATGACCTCGCTCCTTTACTGTACAATATTTTTAAGTGAGAGAGGGACGGGATTAGATCTGATAGGAACTGCAGGTCTGTGGTGAGCCATTCAAAACATTTGCCAGGCTGGACAGAAGGATGGATAAAATAAGGGAGGGGAGAGTCGGTGACATTTTGTTGTTTGCTTACACAAATGGATCCCTGCAGAGAAGACAATTTCATTCTGCTTTTCTCACTTTCCGTTCTCCTCATTAAAATTAAAAAACAAAACCCTGCTTCCTTGACTGTCTACCTAATCAGCTACGCGTTACTTGCGTATATCCATCCATGTCTGTGTTTCTATTTTTACCCATCTTTCTTTTTCTATCTTTCCTCTGACATATTCTTTCTCTCTTGTAACCCTCCCCTCCTTTCTTCTTCCATCTGGCCCTGATGCTAGTGTGCCAGCTTTCCCATGTGAAGTTATGCCTCTTATACCCGCTGCCTATAAACAGCTTGCACTCTGGTTTCCTGCAATATGGCCCCTAGTTGCCCAGTGTTCATACATTTAATTGCATATGATCCTGGATGGTACTAATTTTGTAAACAAAAAACCCAGTTATGTTGTTATGAGCATCGACCATTGTCTAAAACACTGCAGTGAGTTTTCTCTGGATTAAACTGAGTGAATGTGCTCTTGTGAGCCCCCTGATCCTTTGTAAATCAAAGCCATGAATCAAAATGAATGGGTGACTTTGAGGGAACATTATGCTTACTCTCTTTACACTGTACACCCAGTATATGAAATCCCTGGCCGCCCATTCACTTCTGATATGAATAATTAATGCTATTATGCCTGACCTGCATTTTCGGCAAGCAGTTCTCTGTGCAACCACATATCTCACATAATAATCACGCCCGATGCGAGGTAATATAAAACGGAGGGCTTGGCTGCCTCCAGTTATGTACAATGTTGCTTGAATCTGATTTAAATATGCATTATGTAGTTTCGGTGGGATCTTAACCCCAAGCTGAACCATCTGTAATGTCACACTTGAACAGACTGCACTTCTGTTGCTATAATGCAGCCGCCATGGGACGTGAACCCGTTAACTAAAGGTTCGCACTTTGGTTCATTCACTTTTATATGTGCCAAGAAAAGCCCAGACACTGCATCTGTATTGCATGTCTGCTCATTACTAATTCGCCCTCCTTGGTGCTATTATAAGTCTGAATTGGAAACCATGACGCACCTGTGTTTTGCAGGCCAAATAATATTTTGTGATAGGGTGGGACGAGGTAATGATGTTGTTGAGGAAAATCCAGCAGATTCCTAGAGTGCCTGGACTGTATTTGTGCTTAGACAGGTTCAAATGTGCAACTCTGCATCCGCTTTGTGATTATGACTGTGGATGATAAGCAAATCTGATAAGCTGATTAACTGTACCCCCAGATATGAAGAGAGGATACTGCTATTATGTAGTGGTTGTTGTTGTTGTTCTGCTTGAAACTGAAGGGGGAAATTAGCAATCAAATCTGTAAAATTAACCCTCTCCTTTCAAATTAAGGGTCTGTTAAACTGGGGGGGGGGGAAAAAGAATAGTAAATTAATTTGTGACTATATTTCAAAACATATGATCTGAGTATCAAATAACAGGGCTCCAACTGTCCGTTCTTCCTAAATGTGCTGCTTTTTTCACATATTTTCGACTCGGATCAGGCCACAAAGGTTGGCTGATGCTGTTTTAGAAAATAATTCTTTATTCTGTAATTGCGACCAGCGGAGGGTGAAGAAGGTGGGAGGCGGGTGGACAAGCAGGAGGAGGTGGAGCAGCAGCAGAGGATGGGTGGGGAGTGGGGGTAGGCTAAGGAGGACTGTGAAGAGCTGTAATGCGTGATCGTGATCCTGCTTGACGGTTGGTCCGCTCTGTTTCACAGATCTTCTTACTGACTGCTCGGTGGTCTTTCGGGGAGAAAACAGGTCTTGGTGCAGATTGCATCAGAAAATCACATCTCTAAACTCTCTCCCTCTGTGTCATATGATGGCCCTCAAGCACGGTTACCCCTCACTGCTCTGGTCTTGGCCCATGTGATTGTAACTACACACTCATCTCCTCTAAAGCGAGTTGAGTCACACACTGCATTCTGTAATAGAAGACAAGACTGTGCAAAGTGAAGTTCTGGTGAAAGCAGTAAATTGGGAAATACACCCTTATGCTTTCTTTCTAAGAGCACGGTGAGATTAAAACTTCTGTCGCAGCTATATGATGATTATGAAGCTGGAGCAAGCTTATCTTAACCGGAAGTGCTGTTTCCAAAATAGCATGCTTTCACGTTAATAATAAAGCTCACTTTATATTTCAAATATATTCCATATCAATTGATATTAAGTCTTTCATCAAACAACATATATGCTGGTAATGACTGAGCAATAGGCTATTTCTCCATCTTTTTCCACATATGTTATTGCACTAAGTTGGGTTAGCTAGCTTCACATTCACCTTCTAGATGAAGAAATCAGTCACATCTAGCTCCCAGCAAGGAAGCAATTAGGGATACAAATTGTTGAACAGTTTTTTTTAAGCTTTAGAGCATGAGATAATAGTTTTCATTGCAATCGCATAAAAGAAAATCTGTTTTTATCAACACTACTGGCAATACGTCTTGTGCCAGCTATGGATTTACTAACCTGCTTGCATTCTTCATAGCCACTGATTTTAGGTCTCCGGGGCACCTGCTAGGTGTTCTTTGATTCTGATCCAGCAAAGGGCTTTCTGCAGCTCACACTGCGTGTTAGCATAGAATATGCTGCGATTGGTGGTGTTTTTTGTAGTTGCTTTCCTATAGCTTTGTTACTTTGTTAGGTGTGGCGAGCCTGCATGGCCTGGCCTGTTTTCCACTGCTGACCATGATGTCTCTGTTCCCTGCAGATCAGCCTTTGAGCAGGACGTGGAGCATGGCAACACAGATGGCCTGGGTGACTGCCAAAGTAAGCAGGCCCTCTTCACTCTTATCTTTCCTCCTTCACTCTGTACCCCCACCAGCACCACCAACACAACCACCCCCACCACCATTCCTCTCTTCTTTGTTAACTCCATCTCCCTCTTCTCTCGGCTCTCCGTGTGCTTCTTTGCTGCCGTTACCTTTTTCCCATCCGCCTGTTCCACCCTCACAATCCTCTCTTTCACCCACTTCCATCCATCTGTCCTTTCGGCCCTCAGCCTCCTCTGTTGTTTTCCCGCTGCTTTTTGGTCCCCCCCGGTCAATAGAGCGCTGTGTCCTATTGCCGAAAGACTGAGGTTCCTTCTTGCAAATCACTTCGAAAACACAACACAAACATTCAGAGAAACACAGGGAAGGGATTTCGCTTGTGAGCAGTCACAGGGTTCATTTTGAAACACAAAACAAGAAGGGGCTCTCAACCGAGTCAGGCCAAAAAGTCTCGAAAAGGCCTCTTTTACTCTACAACAGTGAATGGCGCATATACAGAGACAGTATTTCTTATCTTTTCATGTCCAAAATAACAGCTTGGTTTCTCCAACGGGAACCCTTGTTGATATTCTAGTGAGCAGCTCAGTTTGTGAAAGAAACTTCAAAACAATTTGATATTAAATCATTCATTTTGGTTCATCTCATCTCAATTTCAACTGTTTACTGAGAGTAAATAAAGGCTATGCATTTTCCCTCTGGTTTCATTAGTATGTTTAGTCAAGGGAACCCATAGTGTTGGACTTTCATTAGCTTTAGAAGCTATATAGATCACCACTGATTAAGGCTGGGAGAATATCGAGCAGCCAGTCGATTTTAAATTACTTTAAAAGTCATGGCTTTTGATCATGTTAAAGCATAAGCTCCCTTTACTGCAAGCAATAACAGGTTTCTCCCTCGTTTCTTTTCTTTTTCTTCCAGATACATTTGTGGCCCTGAATGGTAAGTACCCAACATGTCCTGCACAGGCAATCCAATAAAAGACAGGAGCTGCATTTCATCTCCTTTTAGTCTTTAACTTCAGCCACACCTTTTCGTCTAGTCAGTCAATCATCCCCTCTCAAGGAAATGAAAACTCCTCCCACACGTATAAAGAAGGGTTATTAATGACTCAAGGTTTTAACTGAATTGATTTCACTCCTTCTTTTTGATAGACGTCCCTTCCAGTTACGAAGGTAATGAAACATTAAAGTACACTCGGTCACTTTCATTGCTCATATTATTTCTCCCCGTGCTCCTCGCAGTGTTTAGAATAAAGGTCGTAGTGATAGAAATCAGAATTAAAGGTCTTTAATGCTGATTGTGATTCTATTAGTTCTCTTTTCCCCCTCCTTGTTCCCAGTGCCCAATCGCCTTATCCCCATGTGCAACAGCATCGATTATCCCTGACCTTTGCTTTGCTAATTGGATAGATCTAGTTGTTAGTGGTTAAAGGCCTTGGTGGTAAAGAAATACTTCAGCATGCACATTAAACAGGATATGTGCTGACAGAGAGAGAGAGAGAGCGAGAAATAAAACCGGCCTGTTTCGAGTCTGGAAATATGTTCCCGCTAACTGCACAGACTCTTTGCACAGTTTGAGATGCTTAATTCAAAAGGGCTAATGTAAACATGCACAGACATACATGCACACTGTTCTACGGCTGGCTTCCTTTCCTAGCAGATATGTTTACTCTCTTAATCCCACAACACAATATTACGATTACACTTCACTGCCGCCGATTGATACCATTTTCCTCACTGAAGTCTCTTTAAGGAATGATAAACAGATGTGATTAGCCTGCAGTAAAGTCTCTTTTATCCATATCACCCACACCTACGCGCACATCCACCTTATTTTTATCTAATCGGAGGAGGCATTAGTTTTGTTTTTAGTGAATCTCTTTCTCTCTCACACACATACCTCGCAGCTGCCAGATCAAAACAGCCAGATCCATACAGAATGACAAGAATAGATATTTTGAAGCCGTACCAGAAAGCCCAGCACTTTCTCTCGCTAACCCTCCTGTGGCTGTACCCCCACTGTGAATCTCCCTCCTTTTGGAAATCCAGGGTCATGGAAAAAGCATCTGTGTTGGTGTACACCCCTGTAGCGCTGAATATGCTCCCACAGGCTGGGCTGTGTGTTTTCAGGCACACACTTAAACACACCTAGTTTGCAACACCCTCCCCCCAAACAAAGTCTCAGCCCTTCCATCTATCTGTCAGTGGTTGATATGGATTTGAAGATAAATAAATGCCCTTTCTCTATTCTCCTCTCTCCTACTCCAGACTAGACTTCCTTGCCTCTCTTTTAATCTGTAGAGAGAGAGAGATGTGCATCCGTCGGCAGTTTAGGCCCCTTTTTTTCTCCCCTGATCCGTGGAGGAGCTCTGAGGCTCCGAGCTCTCTCTATGTGTGTCATCTGCCTAAATTGCACTTCCCCTGGCGGTGGGGGAATGAATTATAAAATAGGCCTGTCACACTAATCTCTCAGCCTTGGGCCAATAGTTAAATAAATCATTTTAATGATTGCCACGCCACACAGAAGAGGAGGAGGCTCTGGGTGGTGTTGTGTAGGTGCCTGTTGTGCGTACTCTACCAGCAGCATCAACCTTAGCCTTTTGAAATGCCTCCCCACCTTCAAACACACGCCTAAACACATATTGAAAAGGAACACACATGCGCATGCACACACACACGCACATTGCTGTCACCTCCTTCACGCAGATAGCGTGTCAAAATGGTAACTGGGGGCTGAGCTCCACAAGAGGCTGTTGATAAAAGTGTTGTCACTCTGCATCTAGGGATGATCAAAAAACAAAAAACACGCGGCTCATTACATTAAACACAATGTATAGCTTCTTCAGAATTGTGTAGGGTGGCTTAACTGTAAGCATGTGGGATGGTAATGTGATTAGCATGGTTCAAAAATAAACTCTTCAGCAAAGCTTATGTACAGATTTTGCCTATGAAACAAAATGAGAAAACTTAAGACTGACAGAGACAGGCAAGCACAGACTGTATGAGTTATATGCAAAGCTGGACACAGAAGAGGGGGGTATGATCCATCCTCCACAAACGAAAGAGTACTGTGTTGCAGTAGCACTGCATTTATTTCCTCTGAGATACAGCTGGTGTATTTTGTTCAGTGTTAATGGGTACATTTACATGGAGCCTGATATTCTGCTTACAATCAGTTTAAAAGCCCAAATAGAATAAAAGTGCTCCACAAAAATCACCTCAGTTAAAATAAACGGTGGGATTCAATGAGTTTCCGAGGGGTGTAAGAAGCATCTGATCAGTAGGAAAACTGTACCAGGTAAACAGTTTATCAGATACTTTCAGGCTGCATTTTATTCTGAGCGTGCCCTCTGTGTTGACTCAGATGCACGGGGACGTACGCAACATTGGTTTCCAAAGATGGCAGCTTTCCAAGCCAAACTTCTCGTCTGCAGATGGTTTGGTTTTAATACAAACTCAAAGATAATTAAAGAATTAAGAGCAATGCAAAAACAGCAGCTTCTCCACCGCGCAGAGGATAGACATGTGTTTGTTTCAGAAACTGATAAAACACCTGCCAACGAGTTTGACATTTTTATGCATGCCACACGTTTTCAGTTAAGTGTATTGAAGTATGTAAACACTATGTCATAACGATATTATATCCTATCTAAGCAGTGAAAACAAGATGAAAATAATTTGCATTCTGTGCAGTTACTTAACGTATTGTCTGAAAAAACCCTAATTATTAAATTGCATGTTTTTCTTTTGCACACTATTACATTCAGTAACTAAAAGCAGTGAATCTTAACGGTCTGGAACTAGAGCTGCAAAATATTTAGGATTTTGGCTTGAAAATGATTTAAAAAATGGTTGCAGAATGAATATTAATTTTCTTTCGGCTTCTGTTTAATACAGACTGCAATTTTGAGTTGGAGAAGCCATCGGTGCACATCGAAATGAATTAAACATTGCTGCAGAAATGATTGGAAAGCCAGATTTAAAGTTAGCTTGAGAAAAGGAGCAGGATGAACATGAGCAGAGTTAGAACCACTTTAGCTGGAGAAAAGTTACAGGCAGACTTCTTGACAGGAGCGATGGAAAAGAAATTTTGTCTCTTGTCCTTCATATCAAAGGCAGGCACCCTACGGTGATTGTAGAGAAATACAATTGTACTCTTTTCAACTGTGACGGGCCCAACAGTGTCAGTCAGAACAGGAGGTGGGAGAATGATAAAGATATAGAGACTCTGAGAATGACAGACGAATAGAAACACACACACATTCACTAATGAGTTGCCTAGGGTCACACTTTGTTGCCTTACACAGCCCAGCAAGTGTGTGTTAGTGTGTGTGTGTGTGTGTGTGTGTGTGTGTGTGTGTGTGTGTGTGTGTGTGTGTAAGCACCCCTGCTGTGCTTTCATGCACTGAATCTGTTCCCTGACTGCCACGGGAGTCAGTTAACCTGTGTTGTGTCCGGCAGGCCACCATCACCACCGTCACCACCACACCCTCTCCCTTCCCACCTCGGCCCTGCCTGAGGCCGCGGATGGCCCCCTGGGCCGGGGCCGCATGGTGGAGCGGAAGGACCCCCCCATGAGTTCAGACAAAGGGGAGGACCCCTACATGGCCGTACCCTCTCAGACTCAGCCAGAAGCCAATGGTAAGCCTTGGAACGTCACAATAGCAGTCAGTTTGGTCCATTGTCACCTGTGGCAAGGGAGAGGGAAGGGAGGGATAAAGGGGAAGGGAAGGGTTTGCGTAATTGAGATTTACGGCCGCCTAGCTGCTTCCAGCTGACGAAGTGTAGAGATGGCGGATCGCTTTCTCTCTAGGGGACAAATCGCTTCACACTGTGCACATAAACCCCCCACTGAAACATATGCGCACACATTTACATTTGTAGGCACATGCACATAGACATTCGGTGGTCATAAGGTAGCATATAGGCTATGTACACACCAACCTTCATGCACACACCACTCTGTAGGATGGATTTATTGTCCGTGGATTGTAATGCCCCACAGGAGATGTAATATCCAGACCATTACACTCTGAAAAGGAAGATGGCGATGTATTTATTTCCTCGGGAAGATGGCCCAGTCCCCAGCTCTGTCATGCTTTGCGACACGGTGACATGACATTGAACGCCCTTTTCTCCTGTGTTAACAACCTGCCTAATGCTGTACCGCCTCAAGGACGGCTCACTGGATAAATGAGTCAGAGTGAAAAGGGAGGAAGGGGAGGAGACGAGAGGGACAACCCACATCGTAGAGGGAAAGAAAAAAAGGTCACTGCGGTGCTGCCAGTCCAGCCTGCTCTTTACTGTCACAGACAAAGCTTAGAAGCCATTACAGCAACATGCAACATGTTTCTGCTAGTTTGTGCGGTCCATGCTAACACAGGCATTACCCCGAAACATTAATTGAAATGACATTAATATTTTCATTCTGACTGTGGCCTGAAAGATGCAGTAGCATACTCTCTACAAACATACTAAATGTAAAGAAAGACAGAAAGATCAGCTAACGAGCTGAGTCTAAAATGTCTCCTTACTGAAGTCAGTGTTTAAAAAAAAACATGCATGCCTCTTTCAGTTACCCAGGGCATAAATGCAGTTTCAACCTAAGAAAGAACATACAGAATACTTTCTCATTCACAGGCTTGGAAGAGACTTTGAAGATGCTGAAGTGTTGACAAGTGAGATTGACGGGTTGATTTTACCTGGGCTGAATAAATACATTTCAAAAGAGTTTAAAAATACATGACGGTATGACTCAAATGCAGTGTCTTCACAAGAGAACCATAAACTGGGGCTAGCTAAAGTCACTAGTGCACATTTTAAATGTCTCCTGTCTATGGGATAAAGTGAGGAGGCACAGCAGTGATTGAAGCACGTCAGCTGGAAGCAGTTAAGCACCACTTGGTAGATGCAAGCACAATGGTGGCAGAGACTTCAGACAGCATGCCTACAACCAGCATCACAACATGCTGTCGCTCCCCTTGTTGCCTTTGCCTGAGCAGGTGTAACCCGACGAGGAATGGCAAGAAATGCTGAGAATCAAACGTAACGAGAGCCAAAGCTGTCTTACGGTAATAGCTTTTTCCAAGAATAACATTCTGATTTCGGGAGATTTGTGGGTAACTCCGTGCTCAGGTAACTGCAAGACGACTTCATATTTCAATACAATGCTTTCCTGCTGTTGTTGTTTTTTTCTTTCTGTATGGTCATTTTTATTATTATTCTTATTATTATCATTTTTATGAGACACTTTTGCAGCTTGTGTCACTATTTATCTGTTCAATTTTAGCTCTACAGTCTTTTCTTTTCCCTTCGTTATGAAAGTCGGCTCTGATGATATTTTCTTTCTTATTTTACTGATTTGCGTGGTTTCTCGTGAGCAGTTCTTGATATTTTGCATGGCTTGATCTCACACTACGTCTTTTTTTGCTATTTATATATTTGCCTTTCTTCCTGTGTTGATTGCTTTGATGGTATTAAGCACAGTTTTGCCTCCATACAGCTTAATGCTTTCAGCATGGCAAATTGAGCACCACAATCAAGAGTACTCATTTCCCGCTCCACCCATCCTTCCTCCTGTTCCTTCCTGTCTCCCTCAGTATGATTGGCTTCAGGTGTCAACTGTACTGTGAAAACTTAGCAAACTGCATGTATGAGAGTGAAAACCCAAACATGAATAAGCTATATTAGAAAAAGAAAGCAAAGAAGTCATTTTATCGGCATTTTAATTGCAAAGCAACACATCCACGCAGCCTATTTTGCAGAAGAAATCGGGGATAAACATTTAACCGATCAATCTCAAGTTTATGCTTGAGTGAAAATGTATTAGCTCATATCCAAAGTCTTTTGCGAGCTTATTTGTGATTTAAAACAAATTACAATTACGTCCCTAACTTTTTCATTTGCAGTTGAGACATTGTGGAATCTTATCTGCTAATGAATATTACAGTGCTGCCAATATGTATTAGTCCAGCACCACCAGAGTAATTAGAAATGCTGCAAAGTGATGAGTATTTGCACGCGAATGATATTCAGCACCCAACAGCATCACTATCTGCCATTCCAGTGGGGCCATCACAGTAGTCAGGTGGCTGCTTGTGTTTCACAGTACATTTGAGCTCAGGGTCTGTTTGTGTGTCTGGGCATCATCTGTTATATTTTCTTCTACTTCTGTCATTCCACCATACACTCGTCGTCTGTCCTCCCGTCGCTCATCCAAACCCCAAAACCACCACCAGCTCTGCCTTTTCCACCATCTGCTGCCATTGTGATCAGTCTCCCTTCCACAGGACCTCTCATCTGACTGGGATGGCATGTTCCAAGGCTATACCTTACCTTAGCGCAAATTAATTCCTGAACCAATTTATGGAGAAACCTTCCTCAAATGTCCCCCCACCCTCTCTTCCTCCACCATCTCTGTATCTCTTCCTCTTCAGTTTCTCCCCTTGCAGTCTGCCTCTTCTCCAACTGTAGTCATATCTCTTCCCCCGTCTGCAGGAATGAATCCTTGCTCTGCTCCCCACTTTGCTCTCTCTCCTTTTTTTTTCTACCTGTCTCCCTTTCTCTGGCAGGCTCAGATCTACCCACCTCATTCCCTACTTACATCCACCCCTCCCCCTTTAAACCCGACCTGTAGCCACCGCTGTGTTGCTCCAATTTATGGGTTCATTACAGCAGCTATCCAAGGGAAAAGGAAAGTGGAGAGGTGGAAGGAAAGGGGGATGGAGCGAGACAAGAGGGGACGGAGACTTGGGAAATGAAGGGACTGAGGTACACATGATAAAGATTTATTAGACAGAACAGGGCAATAATGTAACATTGAACAAAGCGGTAAACAGACAGCAGGTGAATGAACTAGCTGAAAGATCTGAACAGAAAAGATGCAGGACAGGTGAATCAGAGAGGAAATAATATATTGTAGTTAAACAAAGTGAACAATATTGTTTCTCTCTATCCCTTTCAGTCTATATTTTATGCTTAGTTAGCTAACGCTAAAAGAGCTGAATGTGAAAAAAACAATCAAACTGAACATCTGGTGAAACTGAAACAAATTGCTCTAAAAATACAGGATGTTGTCTGCAGTAATGTAGCATTTTCTGTGACTCAGGTTCTGAACAGTACGTGCTGATGCTTTTGAGAAGCAAAACATGAACAGCAAGCACTTATTACTTTTTACAGTTTAATATCACTTTTGCTGAATATTTAATTTTCAGTCATTAGTTTGCATATTTTTATGGTTAATTCAGTTAGGTTGCATTTAGACTTGAACACTGGTTTCATGTTAAAGTCTAGCTGGGCCACAACAAGAGTCTGGTAGTGATTAATCATGTTGAAGGTCTTTATTAAAATAATAATTACATTAGTATTCCTGCAAACATGGGTATGGGAATTTCAGCCAAACTGATATCTTGTCATACTTCAAGACAGAAAACTGAATTCAGTTAAATTAACCTACAAATGCTTTTTACAGCATAATTATTTTTGTAAAACAAACAAACAATCAAACACCCAGATTATCAACAGAATAGATTTATTAATTACAATTAATAACAATAAAAGGTTTTCAAAATAAGTATTTTAGTTGTGGTCAACAAAATATGGCCACAATAGTCCAGTTCAGTTTTAACGTAAAGGCTTGTGTTAAGCTTTAGGGTCATGTTAAGGAACCCCAAGGAAGCCTTTAAAAAGTCAGCACCAACATGAAGCAGGAGACAGTTTAATTAATGAATTTACATAACCTCTAACCACCACAGATGTGGTAGCAAAAGGATGTATAATAGAAGAAACTATTTTGGTTGCTCCCTTATATTCAATGGGTCAACTTATCATTTAGCTCCACGTGTTTGTTTTGGTGGTTTATTTTCCGCTTTTTAAGTGAAAATAAAAACAACTTTAATAACACAACATGTATTAAAATTAGTAACAAAAACACATTAGTAACGTTCTAACAATAACAAACTGTACAAGTTTGATTTAAAGTGCTTAATGCTTTTTTATAACAAATCTTATCCATGTTTCTTAACAGTCTTTTTTATTTTGTTTGTTTTGTTTTTTTTATTAACTATTAATCCTGCGACTCCATAGTGTACTGGTTAACACATTGACGAAACACATAAAAGATCCCAGATTTTAGACCAGTAGAAACTAAATCCCGAGGATGGCTGCATATGCATATGGTGTGTAAACCATAAGACAAATAAGGGGGCAGCCAAAAGAAGCTTACTTATGAATATGTTATGTAGTCTAACTTCCTAATGATGTTCTTCATATTTTAATAAGGCAATTATTATTTCCTTATTACCAATTAACTAATGTGTGGAGCTTGAAGTTAAGTGTTATCCCTTCAAGAAACTACGACTTGAGTGTAAAGTATAGCATATAGACATTTCTACACAAGCTTTAATGCCTGAGTATTACACATAATCCAGGCAACAAGTGCAATTCTTACTATAGACTAACTAAGAAAGTATTAAAAAGTGTTAAGAGACTAAATGCAAGTATTAGAGGCCACAATTATCTGATGAAATGTTTTGCTCTGTCGTGTAGTACCATTAAGTATTGGTTTACCACACTGATTCAGAAGAGGAAACAGGACGAAGAAAACTTCTTTTTGGATTTAATGTGTTTCTTGTACAGCATTA